AAATCGTGAAGTCAATAAATCTTAGTCAAAAGACAACATACTTATGGAATAATTTTCAAAATTAATAACTGAAAACGATATACGGAAATTCAAGGCACCTCCTTGAGGTAAATTACATTTTCAAAAATAATGTATCATTAAATCTTTTTCTCTTTAAAAATAAGGTAAACGAAATCCTATATATTATAATATTTCATTAGTGATGTTTAAATTGGCATAGAAATATAGAGGGCACCAGTTATTTTCCAAACGGTGAAGCAGGTATTGTCTCCATATACTAACTATCTAAAAAAAAACAAGCACCGTACAGGGTTCCAGACTAGAGTCCACCAAGTATAAACTTTTGATCCATTCCACATTGCTGGCACTTCCACCGCCTGCGGCTCATTTGGAATCCTCTTCTTAGGTTGGGATACTTTATTGGCATCTCGACATATTCACATGGAATTACATTTATAATTGTTACATAATATTGTTGCAATATTATCTGGTTGCTTGATACTTTACATTGCAGTAATTTTGTTGTACCTTTACAAAATAACACACATAATATTTTTGCTTTCTACGGGTTCGTGGATTTAGAGTGATCGATGACAACACTTGATGAAGAAACACAAACGCAACTAATTTATCAGTATTACACAGGAGAGTTTCAAAGACACGTTTAAAGGCGTACCAAGAACAACAACAACAACAAAAAAAAAAAAAAAAAAAAAAAAAAAACTACGATTAAACACGCTGAAACTATCAGCGACACAGTCTTCAGGCTATAACGACGAAGACAGCTTCACGGCAAAGAACTAAAGTATAGCTTCCGACTCGGTCGATCGCTCTCAAGCTAATCTCTAAACTCAAAACACGACATTGAGCTCAAGATACTCGTCACGATAAACTGCTACTTCTCATATAGCCAGGGTTTATATAGCTTTTGACGTGCCTTCTAGAACATTCTGGAGAAAAAGGGTAGGAATTCGTTCTAGAATGATCTCGCTCAGTCTATGACATATCGTCAATTTTGTCGCCAAATGGGCGATTTCGCTCCAAATATGGCAACCCTTACTTTCCCTATAACTTTCTGGCAACCCTAACCCCGCTTTGCTGGGAAGCTATCCCACCGCAGCAGAGCACTTCGCTACAATATACATACATAGTTACTGTCCTTTTACACTTAATTTTGAATTTACAGTGATTTATAATTAGAATTTTTAAGCGTATTTTGCATTATGTAATTTATTTTTTATTAAGCATTATATTTAGCTTTAGCAGCAAAGTTTATAGTTAATCGCTCATTTGCAGTTAATAATTGGTTTTTTATTTGTGGTACATAGAATAGTTCAGAGTATTGCATAATTTAATTAAAACTAATCGTATAGAGTGTTTGGCATTTTCCATGATACATTTTACTTTCATTATTAATATTAATTTGCTGCACATAATTCATCTTCCGAAGCTAAGGTTTCCACCATGTTTAGAATTTTCTTAGGTATTAATTTTTTATTGCTGCATATTTTAGGAAACTTAGCTTTTTTTAAGAGGAGTCAATCTGTTGTTGGGCAGTCAAACAAGTGACTCTCAGGGTCGCCTCTTTGCCAAAATATTCCCTAATGATGTGAAATAGTGTTCCTCCAGTTTTGTAAGACGAGCCATTGAGCCAGGTCTCGATTTACAACACTAGAGGCCCTAGAAAAACCTTTTTCGAGACTAAATTTTTCAGTTCCCTCTAAATTTCTTCCCAACGACTAACTCTTTCTTCCCAACCACTCTAAATTTTTCAGCGCAGAAAATATTCTAGAAGTGAAGTAAAAGTTTATATATTTTCAATATTATTAGAGGATTTGGAATCCTCTTGAAGGTGGAAGCGCAGCGCATATGCCCCCGTTGCTCCTATAAAATATAAGCCCTACTTTGAGCTCGCTTTCCTTGAAACTATATCTGATGCTCAAAATGTTCAATAAAAATTTAAATTTTTATTTTGCTTTGCAGTATTCTGTAAAACTTTCGTAAAGTTTTGTTATCCCAAAATTTCCAAATTAGTTTGATTTTAAATCAAAAAGCAATCTTAAAATACATCAAAATTTCTTAATTATTCATGCTGATATCTAATAACTGGCATATTCGATACTTTTTTAATTGATTTTTTGGATGTACAGAATTCTTTCATAAAGATTGGCTCATTTTGGGGAAGGAATCTACAACAGGCTCTTCATTTATCCTATATTCAGATCCTACTTAAAGTTCATGTGAAACAAAGCAAATGCACGAACAATGCAACTAGTCTTTCGAGAAAAATAGGCGATACTTAAAAATATAGACTACTAATCTGCAGATAAAATCCAGATAAAATCCACAGAAAAAAGAATTTCTTGCCCAAAATCTCATTGTCAATGATTTCTGTATCATCACGGCTATATACTGAGGAACTGGAGCACATACCTATAGATACCGTGTATCCAAGTATTTTTAACAAGTGATATGCAGGGTACACCAAAATCACCAGACTTTAAACAATTCATAAAAATGAACGATTTACCATAAATGAATGTAGTTTGCGTAAAAACTCATGTGGTGTTTTTTCCCATTAACCCTTTCTAGCACTCTACCTTTTAAAGTCGGAGTTTTGATAAAACAAAGATAGGCAGGTGACAGACACAGACACACCGGGTCTTCACCCGGTGTGTCTGTGTCTGTCACCGAGGTCCGAGAGCAGGTCCGGACACCCGGACGGCTTACATAGACTAGTCGGGTATCGTCCGGATCCCGCAACTATCTGAAGCTACACTCCGAAAACCATACAAGGGCAAAGTACATGGCCATACAAGGGCAAAAAAAGATAGGCAGCCTAATTAGGCCCAGAGAAGTACACAAGTAAAATTTTGTGAAGATAGCATTTATTGTTTTAATTCTGTGGATGTGCCCAAAGCGGCACACTTATTGAATAGAGCTTCGAAAAGAGTGCAGAAACGAGCATTGCTGTCAATGAAATGACCGATGAAATGCGGAGAAACAAAGAATACAGACTCTCAGTTGTTCTAGATTATCGGTGAGCCCGGTCTGAGTACACCTAGGTTCGCCATTTGATTTTAGGCAAGATTTCAAGGTAAAAAATTAAAACTAATATAGAACAAGGAGATTAGCATACAGCCAAAAAATAACATAGAAATTTCTGTTCAAACAATTCTTTTTATCCCCTAAAAAAATCTGGAAGATTTCGTTGAAAAATGAGGGTCTTAAAAAGCTAAACATGGCTAAAATATATGGACTGTTTTGTGTTGAGCTGCCATCTACTATAAATAAGGAAGGTTCAGAGTAACTTACAGTAACATATAAATCCTTTTTCATTAAAGTTTTCTGTGCGAACAGAGGGAAATTTTTAGGTGCGTCCAGACCGGACACACTGTGCCGCAAAGTGTTAAAACATCTACCGACTGGTAGTGCTGCACCGTAGGAAGTCCAGATATCTAAATAAGAGTAGCTTGAAAAGTAGATGTATGCCTACAAAACTTCAGATTTATTAGACCATATTTTACAAATAAATTACTACAAATTCAATTTGGGTGATATGGTGTTTCTGGTAAGTTTGTCCTTCTGAGTGGGGAATCCGTTGTGGTAGGTACCTTTATGGCAGTTTCGTATACAGAAGCAGTTGAAAACATGTTGAAACCCAATGACTGCAACAGCGCTAAAACCTCTTGTTCGGTAATTTGAGGAATCCAGGAATGTATTCGACGCACCATCGTGAGTTGAATCCATGTAAATACAAGTGGGATCCGATGGTACAAGCAGTTAGTAGCATTAGCAATATTCAAGAAAATGCTAAAAACTAAGAGTCTATCAAATATTGTAGTGGTGTGGGTTTTGCATGACATGTTGCAACTGTATCCCTACAAGCTGCGATTGTAATTCATTTGCAGACATATGATAAAGGATTCGCCATATAGGCCTTGAAAAATATATCTGATAAATATCCAAGGTAAATGTTGAATATCCTTTTTACAGATGAAGTCCAATTAGCCCTGAATGAGACTATTGATCCTTATATATGCGCAGAGGGAGCATCACTGCTGATATGCAAAGGGATCATTACTATGCAGAACGGTTTCATGGCATCCATATCCATAGCCAATTCACTTTAGAAACGCCATGAAGAACTATTGGCTATAAAATGAGTTCCATGTCACAATAGAAATTAAAGGAAAATGTTAACAAACAATAGTACCATGTCTGAGGAAAGGAAACCTCACAGTGTCACGTTACTACAAGACACAGCAGGCCGTGTGAGGAAGTTCCATTATTACGGCATTTTGTCTGAGCTATTGGTTAGTTTCTTATACCCGGCTGTTTGGTTCCTCGTTCGGTGGACTTCATGAATTTTTAATTACGCATCTATTTAAAGTCCTTGGTGTATAACAACGGCCCCTAGCGCATTCTCTGAACAAGCTCACAGAATTCGTTTTCCTATTTTTGGGCCATACTGAACACTTAGTAATACAAAAATCGTGTAATGAAGCAATTGCATTGTATTTAAATTGCATTTAAGCAAGTACAATATTGTTAAAAATCATCCGAAGATTAAGATGGCAATGCAGGGCCAACTGTAACGGGCCTATGAAATATTGAAATAATTATTTTATATTGCCAAAAATATTCGAATTTTGGACATGAACGTGGGTGCAAAATGCATTTTCATAGGGCAGTTAGCGTATTTTTTCATGAATGTTTAACATGTCCAGTGACTTTTGGTACACGAGCATATCAAGGATTGTGTTCTACATTTTAATCGCTTCTCTGAAGCAAAACGTTTTGTATAATAAATGCTTATATGAAGTGCGAATCTTTTAATATGTAATTTGTTTTAGGAAACATTTTCTCATTTTTAACTCGGGAAACCTTCAGGAAACTTTCTTCCTTTATAGAACATAATTAGAGGTTCAGGCGTCGCACGTGTCATGCACTTGCATGAGATCCGACTCATCAGTGAATGTATGAAAAGAAATACTTACCATGAATATCCGAATTAGATGATTGTAAATCAAACGGTTGATTGTCAAAAGGTGGTTTATAGCCAATAATACTGTCTGGTCCACTATAAGAGATATAATGCAAAGGCGGTGATTCAATGATGCTGGATATGTAAGTGTCCATTTGGTCGTTGTTGATAACTTGTTGTGGTGCAGAAGAAGAACTGGCTACTGTAGTTGTTGAAGGAGGTGCAGGTGTGGTGGTCGAAGTATTGTTATTAGTAGACGGACCTGCTGGAGAAGTTGAAGGAACTGCAACGAGTGTCTAAAATGTGAAAGAAAATAGTTTCGCTTAGTAATTTAAAATAATCATCCAAATAACGAAAAGAAATTTATTCCATATAAGAATGAAAAAAAAATATTGTTCTTACAGTTTCAACTGTTAGTTAATAGAGTTGAAATTGTAAAGAAATGCTTGTTTCTTTCATTCTTACATTTAGAAATTTCAACTCTCTTATATATATACAGTTTCAACTCATTATATAGTATACTATTGTAATAGATATGAACTAGCAAATAATTGATTCATGTCATAAATTAGGATATATGAAAAGCGTTAGACATAAGCCCTGTAAAGGAAATGATTCTACTAACTAATATTTAAAAAAATCTTCTTCATATTTAAAGATGCCTAGTGGAAGACGTTACTTATGGAAGAAATCGAAAAGAAAATGCTGCTGTAGTCAAAGTTTTCAATTGCCTAGAGCCCAGCTTGCTACGAAAATTAATTGCATAGTTCCCAAGTTTAGGGATTTGAAAGCATTTTGGGTTTTTTCCATAAGTGAATCAAAAAGTTAAAATTGCACTCTAACAAAAAATTGCCGAATTGTCTTAAGAATTTATAAATAAGTATCTCTTAGCTAGGCATGAAAATGATAGAAAACTTACAATGAGAAAACATTACAGACTGGATCTGGAACATAAGGTCTGCTTATGTAACAATGTTTGCTTAGCAGATGAAAATGCCCAAAGGACCCATTTAATCATGGAAAGCAAACAGTCCAATGAGTCTGACAAAGGTCGCATCATCGCTTTCAGGAAATGGATTAGTCTGTATGAATCTCTCAGTACGACAATCAGAAAAATTACACTCTCAGATAGCATTGTTATCAATGGTTCCAAGATTACTGCACTGTATGTTGTCTACTGAACTTTGTTCTAACAGACAGTCTGTTGCCGCCATGACAGCAGGGGCAGGCTTGGGATTTTCAATCGTGGCAAATGATATTTGCCTCATAAATACACAGTTCACTATCTACTATTAGAGTCACACCCAGAAAAGTGCCAGAAACCCAAGTATCCAGAAATACCCCCCGTATCCTGAAACCCCGTATCCTTATATAATTATCCACGTATCCTTATATAAAAGTCCTTCCTGATGATATTTATGTATTCGAGAGTTTATCTTTATAAAATTCTCTGAAGAAAAGAGTATGAACTTGTATTCACCGTCTTAGACCAAATTCAACATAGTTCTAAATAAAGATGAATATATTTATGAATGCTGCACTCTCGCTAGCTAGAAACTAGGAAATCGGCATTGACTTAAATCACGTATGGAATGGGTTTAATTTCATAGTTATTGTTAATACATAAAGCGTTATTTTCTTTATTTTGAATTTATATATTCCTCAAGAATATTTCAAGAGAAAAAGATGAAAAGACAAAATATTAAGGCAAAATACGAAAATAAGATTTTTTAACGAATATTTATTTAAACGTTTTTCAAATATAGTTGTTTGGCAAATTTTATCATAAAAACCATCACAGCTCAAATTTTTACCAACCAAAAATCAAGAAATCACGAAATGGAATAAATCATTTGATACGAAACGTTTTTAATCAAAGCAAAATTTCAAGACTTCGTTTAAAATAAAACAGACTTATGAATAAAATTTTTAAAAATACACCTATGGTTATTAAGACTTAAGAGGACGTAAATGGAGTTTTTAATAAACTAAATAATTGAAATTCTTCAAACTCGTGTTTCATTTTCTCAACAAATAAATAAATAAAGACAATTTGAGTAACACGTTTAATTTTTTGTGCATTTATCCGGAATGTTTTTAGATCAAACATATACAGAACGGAATATTATTTCAAAAGTTAACACAGAAAAACGCTAAACATTGAATAATAAATTCTGTTCAGAAATTAAAAAAATTCAAAAGTTGCTTATTTAAAAATGTTTCAAAAAGCTACTAAAAACTGAACATATTTAAGTTACTAGGTATAGGTATATTGCTGATTCAGATGCTATGGAACTAAAAAAATTCATCTGAAAAAATCTGAAAACTTTCAGATTTTATATTAAGCCCAAAATGGCCTTTTTTAACGTTTTGTGTGTTACCTTTATTTATTAAATATCATGTCTTCGCACTTAACCCACATGAAATTCAATGCAACAGCAATATCATAAAATATTTAAAAACTGCATATCTTTAGAATTACCGATGCACAGTCTCGTGTGCTTGAGATAAAAATGTTTTTTCCATGCAGTTATAAGGTATTTCTGCCTCCTTCCGGCATGCTTTCGTGGTGTAACAGTTAGCTCACCGGGCGCGTATTTGAGAGGCGCAGGTTCGAGTCCCGGCGAGGGCATTGCTCATTTCTCCTTTTTGCAGCTTCAAAATAATCTAATGTCTCTACAGTAGCGCTCGAACTAAATAAAGTGGTGGATGATGATTCTTCACTACCAGGATTTGGAGACTGGGCCCCTTAATCCCCAGTCGCCCTTTAAAAGGGGGAGTATATAAGATAGTTCTCCCTCCTTCCGGTATGTTTTCCTGGTATAACGGTTAGCGCACTCGGCGAATATTCGAAAGGTCCAGGTTCGAGTCTCAATGAGGGCATTGCTTATTTTTCATGTCTCCAGCCTCAAAATAACCTAATGTCTCTATACAGTATTGCCATTGCCAGCTTTGAAATCGGTGAGTTTGTTAATCAAAAATTCGTTAAAGTTTTACAAAATTTGAAATAGATGATAAAACAAATTCGAACTTCCAAGTGCCCATTTTCCTTTGGACTACAGTATTCGAAATTTAATGGCTCTAAGTACCGTATTTAGTTTCTTTAAATATAATACATGGCGATAATATTTGGTGGCATTAGTTTGAAAAGTGAACAAAAGCAGAAAGTGAAACAATGCAAAATGCCGTTTTGAGACTAATAGCCCTTTGGGTCTAACGCCCTATTGGGCGAGTTATACAGTTTTTGAAATTCGAATCTTTTTAAAAATTTGTGGACTTTGAGAACTCTGAAGTCCCAACATTAATTACATTTTTTCAAAAATATTTATCAGTATTTTTCTGCTGATGCGAGGATTAAACATAAGATCTCATCAAAATTCTACATGAGTCTATATTAAATTAAGCGCTCAATAATCAAATAATTATACATTTTCCTTCCACGTCATTTAAAAGGTATCACGAAAGCGGAAGGTAGTAGTTTCTGGGCTCATCAAATGATTAGCTACCGAATGGCACGAAGTAGATGTTCTCGTTTTGCTTCGGCGAACGCATTTGTTTTTCCAGTATTCCATTCAAATGAAAGCGTGAAAAAATATCCAGCTGATTTTCTGGGTCACTCCATCCATTTCTCTTTCTTTCTTCTGCGATACCTCCCTTCCTTTTATTTAACAGGCCAGCGCATTACTAAAAATATTGATTCATGATATCAAATAAATGATCAAAAAGTTTTCAAAAGACTGTCGCTTCAATTTCTAAAATAATTTTTTCTCAACTATAACAACACGTCTAAATTTTACACTGGTTTGCAAAGAATTCTCTGCGCGTACTTTTATGGTATAAAAAGTTATGCCATCTAGTTTCCACTTCAAATATACGTGGTTTCGTATTCGGAATAGTTGAATTTGCATATTTCTTGGATTAGAAATGTGTAACAATCTCTACTAGGAACTAAAATCTGGATGATAAACACGTTATCACTATATTTGATCAATTGGGTCTCTTATATCTCCCCAGTCACTCTTCATATAAGAGAGAATGTTAAGAATTGTTTAATCCGTGCGTACTTTCCTGATGTAAGTAATTACCACTGCAGTTAGCAACTGGAAGATCCACGGTTCGAATTCTGGCGGCATTGTTGATTTTTCATTTTTCATAAATTAGAAAAACCTAATAGTTTGCTCAAGTCATGCTTTCGGAACTCGAATTTACACCGTATAATCTCTAAAAATTCAGGATTAGGAGTATAAGTTACAACAAAGCATAGAAAGGCCACCTGCCTAAAGGGAGGAATGACTTGAGCATGTAAGGATTGACTTCGTTGCTAAGCGTGTAAAGATTATGTTAATTTTATTAACAGTTAAATTTTAAGTTCCTTTCCTGTCAAATTCTTAACTTCAACTTATTACTTCCAGCCAGAACGTAGTTTTGGAATCTTGCTGAATATTTAATGAGGAGGAGCGGTACTCAAACCACGAAGTTACTTACAGAGTCAGAGAGAATCAGAGTTTTTGATTCACGCGCGTCCGCCTTTTTGGCCACTCTCTCTCTCAAAGCTGTTATTACGCTTGGCCATACTCAGGCCCTTGCTAAGCTTCGTAGTCAAATAAGTTAAGGGGCCAACTCGATTAGAATCTTGATAGCTTCGGCTATATTTCTTTAGTTAATCTTAGTTTTAGTTTAATTCTTAGTCTCTTAAGTTCAAGCCCGAATGAGGGCTTTGCTTGTACACTCCCAGGCCGAGTTTTGTTGCGGCTGTCGTAGGCTCAAAGTACACATGCGAAATTCTGAAAAAAATTAGACAGAAAGGTTTAATTGATATGGCCCTAAAGTAGAGGTTTCTACGTTTTTTATTTTCTTTCTTTATTTTTGCATAATTTTCAACGAGCAGAGAATCAGAAAAATATAAATTGAAAGATATTAATCATTTAGAAAACGTTACCTCAATTGGTCAATAAAGACATTCTCAGATTCTTTAGTTTCTGTCTTTCCTATCTGACGCATTTACTAGATGGGTTTAAATGCTTTGGCAGGATGTTAATAAGTGTCAATCTTCTCATCGATCTACTATGTCTAAAAATAATATTCATCTAGCGCAACGTACGGATGAACTCAAAATGTTACTTGGAATAAGAAATATGACCTTTGGAACTAAGATTAAAGACTATTTTATACACTGGTAATGTTTAGGATGGTTGTTGATATAATGCAAAATGTTTTCAGTTGATTCGATTTTAACAAACCTATAACTCTGTAGCACAACATATGCTCTTCTCGATTAAATTTCTGAGGAATTATC